ATGAATTACAATGTGTGCCTGAGCGGTACATGACCCGAGAAGTGGTGGATGTGAAAGCGTGCAATTCCAGACGCCAGTTATTGCTCTCATGTTTGACGGGCCTGTTTGCCAAACGAAATTCATGGTTGCCCTGACACTAAGAAATCAGGCCCCACGAAAGGCAATAAATTATTCTCCAGCCTGACACCAGCTCTTATTACCTGTGTCACTCTACATAGAAGTCCCGTGTTGGCCTAATGGCGAATTTCGTCAGGGGAAGAATTTTCTGGCACAGTCGCTGACAAATCAAATGTCAGCGCTCGTCCAGGTAATGACGTTTTTGCCTCCCACACGGCTTGTGTTTCACACTCGAGGCTTGACAGCAGAACCCAATGTATCATGAAATTAACGGTCCTTCCTGTGGTGGCGTAACAGAGTCTAAGTAATTCGGGTCTGGTGGGGTTTGACCCTCAAGTGCTGGGTGCACACAAAAGCCTTTGAATTATACAGCCACAATGAGAACCTTTAGCCGCCGCAACAATGGGATGCAACGCAATCCCAGCTTTCGGCGTAAATGAGACTTGGGCTTTCTGTGAAGATCAAGGGAGCGAGTTATCGCCGTGAAATACCCCTGTTCAAAAGATATTTATGCAGAGGGAGCACCCTTGCTCTGAAGTGTTTTCCATTTTGTTTTGAAACAGACGACTGATGCATTTGCATCCCATTTTAGATGGTGGATTTTTGCCCTTAAAAACGTTGAGTGTGCTACTGGAGGTGTAAAAGCCACTGTGTTCATTGTTGTGACAAAGTCGGTATTTCACGCTTTATCTTTCCTTTGGTGACTATTGTAAAAGTTGCGTAAACGTCCTCTCGTCCGTGCCTCATTTAGCATGGGTATTTTTAGAGGGTTTCATATGAAGAAAGTGTCATTGTGAGGCTTCCTTGGGAATGCAAATTGCATCTCAGGCTGAATGTATTGCCTCATACCTATCAGCTTTTACAGCACTGTAGGGATTGTTTACTGTGGCAGAGCTGTCTTTCCACTAGAAGCGGGGCCATGAGAGTGTTTATTTTGAGGCTTGAAGATTTGAATCGCTTGTTTGGCTTCAATTTAGTTCTTTAAAACGTCGCCCCCTTGTGCATTCGCTTGGAGGAAGCCAACCAAGAGTTTCGGAACAAATTACATCTCGATGTCTCATTCATATTCAGCGTCGCCTGTCAGGACCTAGCGGTGATGAATTTAGTTGTTAGGCCTGTTGGGCACGCTCGTATTTGCCAAAGCAAACGCTTGCGCTGAATTTATTCTGCGCACGCAGCTCCGGGACCGATCGCTGAATATGTAGGCTGCCAGTCACCTGCCTTCAGAGGAGTCGAATGGGATGGCCGTGGAATAGCAAAAGGAAAAGTTTTGCCGGCGCACCGTTCCGCACGATTGGTGGAAGTGCTCTTCTCAGAGGAAAATCATCTGCCACTGAGCCCCGAGAGTGCTGCTTGAAGCATGGAACGGAAATGAAGAATAGTTCTTCCACTTTATTGTGCTTTTATCAAGCTGGCTCTATGGCACAAGAGCGGCAGTGCTTTTAAGGCAAGCTAATGTTTTGCATTATGTTTGTGTTTTGTACATGTTTTCCCGCACGTCGTGTACATCAACCGTTTCCGTCTCCGCTGGGAAATATTATGCTTAAGGGGTATGCTCATCTGGTATGGTTTTTTTCTTAAGCCAACACCAATTTTAGACTTGAGTTTATCCTTTGTACACATGTGAACTATGAGGTGTAATCCTCTTGATATTTGATGAGATTTTGTTTGTTTGGTGAAATATTGTGTCTGTGGAGATGTCTCATTTGCTGCGTCTTGTGGCTCTAGTGATGGTGGGCGTTATGGCACCAGTCAAAGGGCCTCAGATACACCTGTTGAGTGTTTGCCAGTCCACAGACAGATTCAGTCAGTCTGGAGTAATTGTTGTGTGTTTTTGGATTATCTTGTTTTGTTTCCAAAGGCCCTTCTTCCAACTTGAGACTGTAATGTTGGGAAGGCACAAAATATACTCTCTGCAAGTCGAGTGAAATACTTCTAGCCATATGCAAGCAACGTCTTTTTTTTATTGCTGCGTTTTGAAAGCTGTCAGAGTTTTTCAAGTGCACGCTGCTTTCTCAACATGGAAGTTAGTTTATACAGCAGATATACTGTCTATTTAACCAATGTTTGTTTTTTAATATTTATTCTCTCAATAAGTGATTACAAAAACAATAGTGCCTTAAAAACTAATCACAGGTAAAGGAACAAAATCGATAATATATTGCTTGAATGATTATTTAAAAAACTGGATAATTATTATTAAAAACTATTTTGATGTGCATCTTAACAATTTGGCAAAGCCCAAAACAACATTATTATTATTATTAATCATAATAATAATAATAATATATTTCTAATAAGTTGTCTACTATAAATAGTGCCTGTTATTGTTATTATCATTATTATTGTTATCATTATTATTATTATTATTATTGTTAATATTTTTTAATAATTAAATCGTTACAATTTATTATAGTAGTCATTATTGTTTTAAATTAAATTATTTTAATTTAAAATGTAAATTATTATTATATTTCTAATACTTAACTAAATAATTACATATTTTTTGTAATAATAATAATATTATGTTTTTAAATTATTCTAACAAGTAGATTACATTATTATTATTATTATTATTATTATTATTATTATTATTATCATCATCATCACTATTATTATTATTATATTAATACTTCTAATAAATATAAATGGTATACATTTTGTTGTTGTTGTTGTTAATATAGTAGTAAATAAAAAAATAAAGCAGTAGCAGTCAATCTCTAGTGTAAATAGTCTTGTATGTCCAGTTTTCTCTTTCAGGTCAACTACTGTATTAGCAGAGCAAACATTTAAATAAAATTTGCTCAACAAGTCGACTTGTTTATATCTAGCTGCCAGAGTAACGCATCAGGGTTACTGACCCCGGCTATTGAAGTTAACTCTATTGCTCCCTTGAGTACTTGAGAGGTTTGTTACCACCATGAAATACAGTAGCACACATAATTATGTTCAACAAGACTTGCAACATGTTGGCCAAGAATTGCGTTTGCAGATCTGTGTTTGAGTAGATTACTGTCAGTCCCAGCCTGTATCTGGAGAAAAACACGGTGCTCCAACAACTTTAGGCAGGTGCTTCTTTCTTCAAGGCAATTTCCTTTCTTTTGCTTTCATCCAGTGGTGCTTGAATCCCATAAAGTCACAGAGTGGTGACAGCATGTCAGGATCCTGTTTTTCAACAGGAGGCGACCCCGACCGTTCCTCATCCCACGGTTCTCTATCCTTCTCCAACTGCCTGGAAAAGCTGGCACAGGCAATTAAACTTTCCCCAGTGCATGGATTTGAATCGACTTCATCCGAAAGATACCCACTCTCTTTAACGCTGTCTCCTGGAGTGTGCTCTGCACATTTGCTTGCCTCCCAGTAGGGTTTATTTATAAGCAGCTACATCTGAGTCGAGGTGTGGAGTCTACCTCGTTTGTTCAGACCGATTCATCTGCTCTCCTCTCCTGCAGATGGTGACGTTCACGCTCCTCCAGCCGAAAGTGAGCTGTCCCTGTGTAAATCCTTGTTAAAGTTCACCGCTGTCCCCTCTACTCCCGGCATTCTGAAGAGCTGACATCTCTCCCCATAATCTGCTGCCCTTCTTCTCTCTTTTCTCCTGTCTGGCTGTGCCAGATCACTCGAGCAAACTTGCAGAGGCTTGCAGTTTTTTACAGACAGTGCACCTAAAATTTGTATTGAGACTTTATCGGATTAGGATGTAGTGTTCCTAGGAGGTGTGCTGGGGTTTATTAGCGCTGTTTGCTAAGGCAAGCATCTGCATAACTAAAGTTCATCTGCCTGGAAATGTAGTCCGACTGCTGAAAGCATGATTTTGACAACTTTACAGCTCAAGTAACACACTTGTTTGGAAGAAAGAATTAATGTAAGCGCTTTAACTGAGATACACGCTTCATGTTTCTGCTTTTAAACTCTCCGGAATAGCTTGTGCATTATAAAGAGTGTGACTATAAACACAATTTTACTTATTAAATATTAGTTTATTTTTTTGTATTTGATGTAGTCTGTTAGTTTTTCATATGGTTTTTAGTTTTTTTTTTTAATTAAATTAACATTTTTAAACTTCATAATAAAAAACCTTAATTATTTTTAAATAAAATACTTTGAACTGTTATTTTAATTTAAACAAATCTTATTTTTTAGATAGTATTTTAATCTTTATAATTATTTTTTAAATATGATTTTTTTTTTAAGCTTTAAAAATTGTATTAAAATTCAAGTGTTTTTTAAATAATTAAAAAAATATATTAATTTTAAAGATTTTATTTTTAATTTTTATGCTGTGAGTCCTTTTCTTGAATTGTTTTTTTTTTTAGCTTATTGTAAAGTGACCTTTGGCTTGGGAAAAGTGCTAAACAAATAAAACGTCTTCCTTTCTTCATATGATCAGAAAAGGCAAATTTTCTGAATTTTAAAAAGTCAGTTTAATAGTAATCAGTGGTAGTTTTTTATGGCTGTTTTTCTATTTTTAAATTTTTTTTGCATTGTGCAGCTGATTTGAACATGCCTAATCTCTTTTAGTTGCATTTTTATCATATCTGTACAGTAACTGGATGTAGGTGAGTTATAATGAAGTATGTTAGATGAATCTTCAAACAATGTCTAATCTATCACACACCGTTAGGAAGTCACTGCATTAGTATTATGCTTGGTTGAATTGAATGTGCACTGGGGAAATTTGATATTGGGAATCTACCCAGCCATTGTTCTTCCAGCATCTCACTCTGATGCTCTCCCATGATGCACCAGCTTGAAGCCTTTTGCTTTGACTAATGAACGGCCCTGGAAATGTCAAACTTTCTTTACCCAGCACAATCATTTCTCATATAGCAGATATAAACTAATTTTCTCTCTCTTGTGCTCTCTCTCTTCATCTTTTCCAGTTCAATACCAGATGGAGATGATGAGGAGTCTCCGGCATGTGAACATCGACCATCTCCACGTCGGCTGGTATCAGTCTACGTACTACGGCTCTTTTGTCAGCCGAGCCCTGCTGGACTCGCAGTTCAGCTACCAGCATGCAATCGAAGAGTCTGTGGTGCTTATTTATGGTGAGTCTCGTTAGTTAATAACACAAGATACCCACAGTGCATTCACAGGCTGGAATCAGCCGTGCGTTCAGGATTTGACCATCCTTTGGATGTAAAAATATGCAAATATAAATGCTTTTCAAGGTTGTTGTTTTTTTTGTGATACCAATTAAATTTACTCTGCTTAGTAACTTTAATACTCTGCAATAGGGCTGTCAAAATGGCTGAAAAAGTAAATTCGAATTTTGTACTTAAATATTATCAAAATTCGAATTATATTCGACTTTAAAATGCATAATTTCAGTTAGGGTGAAGAAAAGTTTTTGGCTTCTCTCCTGAGGCCACAAGAGGGCGCATCGAGCAAAATATTACTAATGCACGTTTATTCAAAGCACAAGATAATATGACTATCTGTGAAAAAAAGTGCATAATGTTTAAAATAATGTTTATAAACCAATTATAATTAAGTTGCTTAAGCAACTATAAACAAAACATCATCATGTATGTATGCATAGTTTAATACAAAGGGCGGAAAGCCAATCACACAGAAAACATTTTTCATTTAAAAACACGAGTTGCAGTAGGATGGGGAAAAAACCCAAATGGCGGCATAAAGTCTCGAGATATGTTTTTTCAAAGTTGAACTTGCATTAATTTTACATGGCTTTCTAAACATGCGGCTCTTTTGTGCGAGACGCGAGTGCAACGGTGATAGATGTCCCTCTATAAAATGCGCGAAATATGCGTTCTGTGTGAACGGCTTGGTTTCAGTTTTGACGCAAACAAGATCTTCTCCGCATTGATGTTCTGTTTTCCCGCAATATTTGTCATTAACAATGCAGCAGCGCCCATCTAGTGGCTTCAACTGGATAGGTTAACAAAAACATTATAATGCAATGACACTTACATCATCATCGCATCTCGTGCGCCACTGATAAGGCTGCCTCCTTAACGCACACCTAAAATGTGGATTTTTATTTTAAATTCGACGAATATTCGAAATTCGAATTTTTTTTTGACAGCCCTACTTTGCAACAATTTTCACTCAGAAATTGTTAGGACATTTCATAAAAATGACAAAGAATCAAGTAGCACAATGAATTAAATGTGAGATTTTTAAGTAGAAAGACTGAAATAGTATTTTTTGTAAAATGTACTTCAATAATCGTTTTTTATTTAAAAAATATATATTTTTGCAGTGTATTTGGTGGTCCTTGGACATTTATTTAATTTTGTATGATTTTTACCTTGAGTTTTAGCAAATTAAGTGAAATTTGTAATTAGCTCCACCAAATAGAATAGCATAAAATGCATAGTTCTGACTTTAATTTCGTTTTTATTTTTGAACCACAGACATTTTAATGGTCAATAATAACATTTTAAATGTTAAATAATAACTGTAAACCATATGCGATAAGACTAATTAAAACTTTTCTGGCGGTCTTTAGAATCAGAGTGAACTACTTCTATCATGTGTAAAAAGGTTGCCATGAAAGCGTTTTTACCATGATTAAGGTAGTTTTACATGCTCCCTCTTTACTTTTGCAGTGTTACAGTCTTACTGCTTTCTGTTAAATGGACGGCTATCTTGTTGGTTTCAGTGAAAGTATGTGATACTAATATGCTGCTGTCTTGAGGATTAAAGTATCTTGTGGTTGTTGCTCAGCTGGTAAAGCATGATGCTAGGTCAAGTGTTTGATACACAAACTTACAAAATGTATGCCTTGAATGCAATGCAAGTGGCTTCAGATGAAAGCGTCTGTCAAATGCATAAGTGTAAAGTGCATCCGGACAATGTTGGGTGAAGGGTGTACTCAGTTACTGGAGTATTGTCTGCCCTGTATTCAACACACGGTTCACAGCTCCGACTGCCACACTGCCGTGCCGTTCTTTATATTTAATCATGCCCCCTTTAAACCCATCAATAATGCAAGCTGATATATTAAAGGCTAAATAAAAATCTGCTCACATCTCTCTGCATACCAAGGAAAGAAGTCTTGCAGTTTAGAAAGTTTCAGTGTGAATTTAGCAGATCTGACCCTTATTAAGAACTGTATTTTGAGTGAAAATCTTGCATTACTTTAAGGCGATTTAATGCACTCTAGTAGAATATTTGCCATTTTTAATACATTTTTACATTTAGTAGATGTTTTATTATTTTATTATTATAAATCAACTTGCATTGCATTCATCATGCATTTCCTGTGATTTAAACCATAACCATCTGTATAATTTGGTTTTAGGTGTGTGTGTGTATATATATATGTATATGTATGTTTTTTTTTATTAAAAATAATTTAAAAACAAAATAATTTTTTGCATCAGTAATACAAGCTGATATATTAAAGGCTAAATAAAATCTGCTCAGATCTCTGCATAAAGAAGAAAAAAGACTTGCAGTTTTAGTTTCACTGTGAATTTAGCCAATCTGACCCTTGAGAAAACTGTTTTGAGTGGAAATGCATTACAAGACATTGTGAAATCTCACCTGACTGTAAGGCGATTAATGCACTTAGGTAGTTTTTTTTTAACACATGCATTTAGCAGGTGCTTTTATGTTAATATTTATATGAAGTGACTTGCATCGCATTCATCAGTTTGAGTGAAAATTCGAATACATTACAAGACGTGACTTAAAGGGAATTTAATGCACTTTAGTAGAATATTTTCCTTTTTTATGCTTTTATGCATTTAGCAGATGTTTTATCTTTATATTTATATACATTGACGAACATTGCATTCATCAGTTTGAACCCATGACCTTCACATTTTGATTTTTATTTGTTTCAAGGCTTTTTTTTAATTGCTAATGCAAGCTGACAAATGAGCAGATCTGATTCTTGAGTAAACTGTGTTTTGAGTAAAAAATGCATTCTAATACATTGCAAGACATGACTTTAAGGCAATTTAATGCACTGTTGTGGAATTTTTTATATACATTTATGCATTTAGCAGACATTTTATCCTTATATTTATATAAATTGACTTAGATTGCCTTCATTGGTTAATGCTTTCCCTGTGATTCAAACCCTTGACCCATAGTTTGGTTTTAGTTCATTCCAAGATTTTTTTTAATGCAAAGCTGATAATATTAGCATATCCGATCCTTATTAAATTAACTGCATTTTGAGGGAAAATGCATTCCAGTACATTACAAAACATTGCAAAATATCTTGAGGCGATTTAATGCACTGTGAAAATTCAGAAGACTTAAAAGGAATTTAATGCACAATAGTGTAATATTTGCCCATTTTTATAGCATTTATGCATTAGCAAACACTCTTCCTAATATTTATATAAAGCAACTTTCATTGCATTAATGAGTTCATGCATTGCCTATGATTTGAACCCATGACCTCCAAGTAATTTGGTGTTAGTTCCTTTCAAGGTTTAACATTTTTTTTTTTTTGCATCACAATGCAAGCTGATACATTTAAAGACTGAATAAAAATCTGCTCACATCTGTCTGCATTTAGAGGAAAGATGTCTTGCAGTTTTAGACCGTTTCAATGTGAATTTAGCAGATCTGACCCTTAAGAAAACAGTTTTGAGTGGAAATGCATTGCGAGATCTTGCGTGACTTTAATGCACTTTTTAAAATGCATTTAGCAGATGCTTATAAATCGCGTTGAATTGCATTCATCAGTTAATGCATTCCCTGTGTTTCAAACCCATGACCTTGGCGTTGCAAGTGCCATGCTCTATATTTTAAGCTAGGTTTTGGAAACGATGTGAACATTAGATTAAGATGAAAAAACACAATTCTGCAATTAAAATCCAAAATCTTATCGTTTGTTTGCATTGGCTTCAGTTTTATTATGGTATTATTATTTAAACTGGCCACCTGTGACTCTAGATGGACGTACCTTTGGCAAAGGAAGGATATTTTAAAAAGTACGCAGGACTCCTCTGCAGGCTGGATGTGAGTGGCAGCTCTGATAAGGCCTTTGACAACTCTCTGACAAGCACATTAATTCAATACAACTCGCTTACTAAAAGCAATGGTGAGATTTTGTGGTTGGCACAGCTTGATTATGAAAACTGACAGCACCTGCAGTCGATGATTTCTTTATGAAAGAGGGGGAAAAGGCTTCTCTGCGTGACCTCCTGCACCTCGTGCCTGAGATTGGTTATCTGCCCAGTGAATATAAATGTCTTGAAGGTGCGGGATGGAAGCGGTTGTTTTATGGCGCTTAACTGACCTTTCTCTTATTGTTATACACCTTGTTCCCATTTCAGATCAACCATTAAAGGCATGTATTGCTTATCTAAGCCTTTTCCTCTTCTCAAAGACATTATTTAAAGATCATCTGCTTCCTATGTTTAATAATAATAATCTCTAAACATAACCCGTTTCTGTTTTGGTGGTTTAAAATGCACCACGGTAACTATTAAGGCTGGATGATGTAGTGAATATTCACAACATATTTGTGATTTTGCTTGATATATTTAAGCACATTATGAATATTATAATTATTTTAATGCATGCTTTATTTGGCTGTTAAGTTTTATGAATAGACGAGTTATATTTATTACTAGATTTGACTAGTTTGAATAGGTTTTATGCATTTCTAATGTTACAAATGAATATTTTAGAATAAATGCTGTATTCTTTAAACATTACTTTGGCATTAAGATATGCAGTAGTTATGCTAAAAAAGAAAACGGACCATTGTGCACACATCAGGTTTGTTTGTTTGTTTGTTTTACATTAACTGTTCTGGTAAAATGAATAAAAAGTTCTTTAAACATTACTTTGGCATTGATATGCAGTAGTTATGCTAAAAAAGAAAACGGACCATTCTGCACACATCAGGTTTGTTTGTTTGTTTGTTTTACATTAACTGTTCTGGTAAAATGAATAAAAATTGTTCACGATAACCGATGTTCACAATGATTGATTGATTTTTATTTTTTTTTCCAAATAAATAATATAATTTATAATTTTTCATTAGGAAAAAAAACTATTTAGTATTATTTATCATCTTCAAATTAGGCATATTAACTTGATTTTATTTGTCATATTTAAATTAATAATGTAAATTGTAGTATTATTTATTTAATTTATTAATTAGGCTACTCAAATAATATAAATTATACTCAATTTTATTTCAGTAGTTACAATTACAATATTTATTTCTTAAGCATTAACTTCATTTGATAACTTGACTTAAATTATAAATATAAATTATAAAATGTATTTATTTGTTTTATTTCCCAAAAATAATTTATAAGTTATAATACATTTTATTTATTTATTTCTATGGATGGATGGATGGGCTGTCTATTTATGCAGACAGCTGAACACTACAGTGGTCTCACTGACTCTTGAACTGTTTTTGCTCACCCAAGCACATCAGTATCCTGTAATGTATTAAATAAGATGTTGCTGTTGCTTCTAGCGAAAATATACGTGCAAATATGCACTGTATTTCACACAATCTGTGTGATTTCTCACATCTTTCTAGCAAAATAGCACCATTGGCCAGTGTTTACATTAAATACAATTGAACCTGGATCATTGTGTGTTGGATGCTGCTTTTCCCCATCCTTTTTTCACAGAAAATTGCATCCCTGATGTCAAGGTGACGTTTCATCTCATGCTTTCTGCAGCGCTTCCAGTAGCTGTAATTGGCTTGTAGGGCATTTCTTAGTCAAACCTGTTTTCAACTCCTCCGATTCATCCATCCATCCATAAAATCCCTTTTAAATGTTTCCCGTCTATTCTTTGTTCTATCTTTGTATCTATCTATCTTTGAACCTTCTTGTTAGCTTGAAACTTGAGGGCAGCAGCGTCTCTCGAGTCTTCACGTCTTCAGATCAAGCTGATGATGTTTATTGTGTTCTGTTCAATCAAACTGCCAGCCGAGGACCTGGGATACATGTTTCCCAAACTACAAACTCTGCTCTACATGTCGTTATTGTTGTGCGTCTAGGCTGTCCACTTCTCTCTCTGTCCTGGTTCGATTCAGTCATCTTTCTTCTTACGAGACGGCGGATGCACGCTTGCGTATGCAGACAACAAAAGCCTGCAGAGTTTCTGGGGAAAGCGGTTTCTTTTTGAAACCAAAATTGTACTTGAGGAAAAGTGTACTCAATATTTCAACAGCTGAAAAATGGCACTCTATTGCCATTTCCACACTTCATTAAATCACAGAACCATTTCACAGAACAGAGCTGAGGTAATAAGAAATGTTTCTGTAGTAGCATATTAGCAGTAATTATGTAAGGATGAGGTGTCGCAGCGCTTTCTGAGAAGGCTGGAGTGATGCTGTGTGCAGGTAAAGACTGACTAAAAAGCCATTATTTCAAACGGTAATTATAATTTTCAGCATTAGCATTGTTTTTGGTCAATTCAATGCTTCCTCTTTTAGCAAATGTTAAAAGAGAGAGCCTATTAAAAATGTGATTCCAAACTTTTGAATGGTAGTGTTTATTGAATATCTTCGAAGGATTAAAGTATAATGGCGTATAATTATCAGTATCAGCCGTTGATTAAGTCATCAGTCTGTGTTGTTGGAGAAATTATTATTCCTTCCTCCTTTTCAACCATGCAAAATTATATTTGGGATTTAATGCTATACTGAAAGCACTTCCTAATGATATTTGTTTGTGAACAGATGTTTCATAGATCTAACTTCATACATGCCATGTTCATTCAACAGTGATTTTTATCACACCGTTCATTATGTGCAACAGATCTTGAATATGAACATGTTGCACTAAAGTTTGGCAACTAGCACATTTTTTTTTCTCCCCGTTTCAAGAGGCATGAAGCTCACCTTGACTTATAAGATACCTTCTTTTGTGCAGGCAAACCAGAATGCATTGAAAAAAATCTATCCAGTATTGCAGATAAAGCAAAAGAAAATGTTGATTGTTATAAGCATGCTTTTCATTAAAAGACAAAAAATTGTTAATTTCTTTCTTTCTTTCTTTCTTTCTCTCTCTCTTTCTCTCTCTCTCTCTTTCTTTCTTTCTTTCTTTCTTTCTTTCTCTCTCTTTCTTTCTTTCTTTCTCTCTCTTTCTTTCTCTCTCTCTTTCTCTCTTTCTTTCTCTTTCTTTCATTCTCATACATTTCTTATAATGTATAAATAAATTTTTACCCCCAGTTTTTTTTTCCTGGACTCCGTTTTAATAGTTTAGTAATAAAAAGAAGAAATATGTCTTATTAACTGAAATCTTAAAACGTATGCAAATTACCAACATTTTGTTTGTAAAAAAAACAAACAAAAACATTTTATGGGCCTATGAAATGTTTTAATTTTCCTCAAATTCTTTTCTCTTTTTCCCAAATTTTGTTTGTTTTAATTTTTCTGAATTGCAATTTAATGGTTTAATTAAATTTAATTAAACTTTAAATGTTAATGTTCAGAAAGCATGTCCAATTAACTGAATTCATAAGTACAATTTATTTACAGCCCCCCCCCTAATATTTGTCAAAATTTTCAAATAAACGCGTTAAAACATTAACAATTGAATTAGTCTTTTAAATTGTAATTAAATGGTAACTTTTATTTGCAATTTCTTGTTTTTTTGCAAGCAAATGCTGCACAACAGAGGGTTGACTGTTAAAATTAAATCACAAAAATTGTGCATTATTATTATTATTATTCAAGTTAATTTTAGCCATATTATTCTAGTTAAACTGAACTTTTATTTTGACGGGTTGTCCTGTCTGGTGAAATGACATGACATTTCACATTCTGGAGTAGATTTCATTTTTATGACTGGATTCTGCAGTTCACGCTGTGTTTTCTGCATTGAGGAAATCATAAGCCCCCACCAATGGCAAACTTGTATGCACAATATGCACACATATGTGAATCTAGCTTACATTTGTGCTGTTTTTTGCTTCATAGATCCCATCAAGACCGCGCAAGGCTCTCTCTGCCTGAAGGCCTACAGGTTGACCCCCAAACTAATGGAGATCTGCAAGGAGAAAGACTTCTCTCCGGAGGGGTAAGACCAACTTAAACCGCTTCTTTCCATTTCCTTTTGTCGCTTCCTTTTCCTGTTTCCATTAATCTGTCGCTAATGAGAACCTTCTTCAACGCGCACAAACAGAAATGCGTCCCCGCTCAGAAGGAGCCATCAGTGAGGGGCTTTTATTTGTCACGATGGGGCATCTTTGAAGGAGTAGTCAGCACTGTCTGCCAAAAAAACGAATGCACAAAGTTTACAACCTCGCTGGCTTCTCGGCAGATGGTAATTGATTTTAAATTGCTGCTAGACATAAGCCTAATGGGGGAATGTATCAGCAAAGCAGTGACGTCTGAGCGATCAGGAGAAAAACACAGACGTAAAGTCTTTCGCTCGGGGACTGGAGCGCTGTAGGGTTAGCTGCGGGTAAAGAGGCTTCACGGATGCATTCAAGTCAACACCAAATCAAAGTCAATCCTATTTGCTTTATTAATGTGTTACAGAGCTTATTCTGTATCATTTTTAATATTTCATCAAAACGGCTGCCCTTTTCAGATAGATCTGAGCAATCTGTCTATATTCTCACAGTATTTTCAGATATTTTTCTGGTAATTTGAAACTTGCTTTTTGCATTTATTAAATTTTTTCAATGAATCAATCTGTAATCTGCTAAAGAAGAAAAAATACAATTAATGTAATTTCATGGTTATTGTTGCTCCCTTAAAAATTTTTTTTTTACTTGAAATAAAATGTTTAATGAAAATATAAAAAACTTATTTCAGCTGGATACAAAGGCAACATTTATCAATTTAATGTAATAATAATAGTGATAATAAAAACAAACAGTAATAAAATAAATAAATAATAATAATATTGATTTAAAATAACGAACTAATAATTAATAAAAACTTTATGTATTTGTTTGTTTTATTATTTGTATTTTATTTTGTGTTAAAAATTACATTAATGAAAACTATAAAATATGAAGAACAACTAGGTGCCAAATCAACATTTCTCATTTTAATTGAATTTAACTTCACGTACTAAAATAACAAACTAAAACTGAAATAAAAATTAATAAAAACTATATAGATAAAAATGAAAAACTACTAAAACGTACAAAACCACACAACAACAAAATGAAAATATATAAAAAATAAAAACATTCGAAATATAAAAAACTATAATAGTATCTTAATTATACTTAGAATTATTTATATATTATAATTATACTTATTATATTTATTAAATTAATATATAAATAAATGAATATGTAAATTTAATATTTTATTTATTTATTTATTATACATGCATTACATTTTTTATTAAATTAAATTATTATTATTTAATTGTATTTCCATGCTCTCGTTTTTTATATATAAAAACAAAAAGAAAATAGTTTTTTTATAGATATTTTTTTCCAACTGACTGAATACAGAATATCTGTATTCAGTCGGAAAGATTAAAGATGTAAAGTGGATTACACTGTTTTATGTTGACATCAAACATGGCCTGTTGTGACCTTGTCATCTGCCAGCGCCCTCGGGTTGGCGCTCATCATTTGAGGCCGCTTCTTGAATATTCAGCTAGTTAAGGAGAGCAACACTATTGATTATGAAAATAAGCCTCTATTTGTCTAGTGATCAAAGCGGGGTGTGTCATCGTGAATGATGCATACAGATCGCTTGTCAGATTCATACAGAATATCAATCTGAATCTGTGCTCAGGGTCTCCGAGGCAGCGCTATATTGATATTCCTCAAACATTCTTCTTGCTCCTCCATAATTTTCTGCAATTCAGCTTGAATTGCAGAACATACGACTCATTGAAATGACAGATCGTGGCCCGGGCCAGCGGGTCCAGTGCCCCTCTAACTGCTCTAGAGATGAGATGACACAAGTGCTCATCTAAAAGACAGATCGCCATTTACACCTGGTAATAACGTGCGTCTCATTGAATTGCATTGATTGAATTGAGGGGCGGGTCTCTGTGTTCATGTCATCTTATTGCATCAGTGTATGATGCATGTTGAGAGAGCATAAAAAGCATGCACACTGCTTCTCAAATTGTAGTCTCACTGCAGACTAGGGCTGTCAAAATGGCTGAAAAACTAAATTCGAATTTTTTACTTGAATATTATCAATATTCGAATTATATTCAAATTTAAAAGGCATAATTTCAGTTAGGGGGAAAAAAGCTTTTGGCTTCTCTCCTGAGGCCACAAGAGGGCGCATCGAGCAAAATATGCACGTTTCTTGAAAGCATAATAAAATAACAGGACTATCTTTGAAAAAAGTGCATAATGTTTAAAATAATGTTTATAAACCATATATAATTAATAAAGTTGCTTAAACAATTAGAAAAAAAACAGCACCATGCATGTATAGTTTAATACAAAGGACCGAAAACCAATCACAAAGAGTAGGCTAC